CAGTCAGTGTATGCTTAATTTCTAGTTGGTCCTTTTTCATGTCCTGCATGGTCTCATTATACTTAATGAGGGACTCATTAAATTTATCGGCGGTTTCCATAAAATTCCTGAAAAACCTTATAAACGTGGCCTTGAACTCTATATCCAATCGTTTGCTTTCCTCTATTTCTGCCATTCGTGACCTGTTTCTCTGTGATAATTTTTTTAAAAATATATTTTTAGCTCTTAAGTCAGTGATCCTCTTTTAATTAATTCTTATATATGGTGTTAGGGTAGGGTCTAGTTAGGGTTTTTTGGTTGTTTGCACATAGCTATGCACTTGTTGCAGCATCATTTATGGAAAGGTTAATCCTTTCCCCATTGAATTGCCTTTGAACCCTTATCAAAAATTGATCATATATGTTTGGTTTATGGGCTCTATTCTTTCCTGTGATTGAGAAATCTTTCTTTACACCAGTATTTCAGTCATAATGATTATTGTAGCTTTATAAGTCTTGAAATGTCATAGTTAAGTCCTCCATCTTTGTAGTTGTTTTGTTCAGGTCTTTTGCATATAACTTTTAGAATCAGCTTGTCACTTTCTACAAAGAAACGTAGTAGGACTTTGATTGGAATTGCATTGGCTCTATGGATCATTTTTGGAGAGAATTTACATCCTAATAATATTGAGTCTGCAGATCCATGAACATGGCATATAGTATATTTCATTTATTTAAGCTTTGAATTTTTCTTAGCAATATTTTTTTTTTTTTTTTTTTTAGGTTTCTTTTGCAGTAAGGGATTTGCCTTGAGCGGAACTTTTCCGACTCCCATGGCTGCCCTGATCTTTTTATTTATTTTTTTTTTTTTAAATATATTTTATTGACTTTTCAGAGAGGAAGGGAGAGAGATAGAGAGAGTTAGAAACATCGATGAGAGAGAAACATCGATCAGCTGCCTCCTGCACATCCACCACTGGGGATGTGCCCGCAACCCAGGTACATGCCCTTGACCGGAATCGAACCCGGGACCTCTCAGTCCGCAGGCTGACGCTCTATCCACTGAGCCAAACCGGTTTCGGCCTTAGCAATATTTTATAGTTTTTATATAATGAGCTTGTAGCCTGCAATCTTGCTAAACTCATTAATTAGCTCTAATAGCTTTTTTGTAGATTGCTTTGAATTTTCTATAGAAATAGTCATGTTGTCCACAAATAGACTTATTTTATGTCTTCCTATTCAATCTCTTGCCTTTTATTTATTTTTTCTTAGAAGGACTTCAGCACAAAGTTAAAAGTAGGAAGATATTAAAGATCCTTGTTTCTGGTATTAGGGGGAAGTTGTCTTTCACCATTAAATTTGATGCTAGTGCCCTAGCCATTTTGGCTCAGTGGATAGAGCATTGGCCTGCAGACTGAAGGGTCCAGGTTTGATTACAGTCAAGGGCACGTACCTCATTTGCAGCTCCTCCCAGACCCGGGCCCTGGTCTGGGCACATGCCAATTGATGTGTTTCTCTTACATTGATATTTGTCACTGTCTTTCCCTCTCTCTTCCACTCTCTCTAAAAAAAAAAAATCAATGAAAATATATTCTCAGGTGAGGATTAAAAAATTTTTTTTAATACTAGCTATATGTTTCTTGTAGAGTGGAAACTTTTTTAAAAAATACATTTTTAATAATTTCAGAGAGGAAGGGAGAGGGAGAGAGAGATAGAAACATCAATGATGAGAGAGAATCATGGATAGGCTGCCTCCTGCCTGCCCCCCACTGGGGATAGAGCCTGCAACATGAGTATGTGCCCTTGACCGGAATTGAACCTGGTACCCTTCAATCCATAGGCAGACGCTCTATCCACTGAGCCAAACTAGCTA